CATAATCACATAATCTCTTGTCCACCTCATTCTGAGGCTGCTGTAACAAGTGAATATCTTTGGTGTGGGATATTTTCTCATCTTATCTAGAAATGAGACCAAAATATCCAGATATAAATGCCATCATCTTGTGCATTTGGAGTCAGACACTGCCCAACAGTGATCAGGAGATGGAGCTGAGGTAGTGAGGTGATACACATGCTTTACCAATCACGAGTCAGTCTCAGCAGTCAATAATGGCATTTCACCCCTTTTATGGCATCAGATAGCGAATTAAAACCAGACTTACTGAAAAAAACGAGCACTTGAACAAACATCAGTGGGACAAGAACTACCAAAACTGAAAGAAACATTTATATAAAGTGTATTTTGACTTTTTATTTTGGCCCATGTCCCAGCCATTAATATGGTCAGCCACGCAGTGGTGATTGGGACACTGTGATGTGACTGGTCATTGACTTGTTGTGCTGCTTAAATCTTAGCTTCAATCCAACAGCATTTACTTCAGACCTGTGTCTGGCCTTTTCAAGTTTCAAGTGATACTGAAATGTTACAGCTCACTTAAACTGGCAACCTGACTTTAAAGTTACAAGTGTGACATGCGACATGTTGAATTAATATTATTAATTCAACATTCAACAAAATAATATTTATGACCTTAAATACACTACGGGTTTCATACTACGGAAGCCCTAAAGGGTCATACATACACACCCGTTTTCCCGTGATAACGAGATAATCCTTCCGTTTTCCCGTGATAACGAAAAATCCACTTTATCACGGGAAAACGGAGGAAAATTATCGCGTTATCACGGGAAAACGGGTGGAATAAAATGTATGTATGTATGACCCATTAGGGCTTCCGTATCATACAGCTTAACGTTGGCTGATATAGTTTTATGCTTTCTTATTAGTAAAGAAGAAACCACCTACCCTGTGCAACTCAGGAATGTCAAACAGTAAAGTCTACGTAAAGCTTTAATTGCACACATGGAGTAGAGAGTTTGTCCTGTATCGCTTGTTTAAGGAAACTGATGTGGAGCAGAGACCTGGTCAAATATGCAGCACACCTAAGCAGGCTGGGATCAGAAAGGCTATAAAGCAGAACTGCCCAATCCTTTCTCTCTCTTCCCCTAGCGTGTTGCCTGACATTTGTGTTTCACACACATACACACACTCCTCACCACTCACTCACTAAGACACTGCATACATACTGACCTTCAAACAGGCCCTCCCTTTTGCATCTAAGTTATTCCTTCAATAAATCATTTACAGCATCATTATCATTTTGAGCAAGGCAGTGACAATTCCAGACACTGATAGCTCCATGTACGATGTTTACTGGATACGTTGCAGAGTAGCAGCAGTGTGGATGACACATTGTTATAGGTTTATGTGATAACTGCAGAGGGCAGGATGTGAGTGAAGGGAATGTCTGGGAGTTTACTGTCTTATCGAGGAAAAAGACGGGAATGAGAGCAGCCCTGTAGTGGACCTGGTGATTAATGTGCACTCAAGCTGGCAGGCACACAACCCACGTTCATACCTCTCACAGAAGGGAAACACACTTTGGCACCGAAAGAAAAACATCATCGTGGTAATTAATAATCTGGTGTGAACACAACTGCAAGTTGAGTTTCTACTGCACCATTGTTATTTTCCATCTGAAAATGTGTAGAAGACATTCCAGTGCTGTGGAAAATGTGTGCACTAAAACATGATCCTAAGAGGGTCTAAGGAGGGGGAATCAGAGGCATGAGTGTGCTCCTGAGTACATTTCTCAACCCACTGGATCTGTATTATACATCTAACCATCAGATATTATCCGGCCAACACGTACAGTTGAGAATGTTTTTGACATTTAAGTTGCAAGTAGGAATTTGTTGTACAACTCATTTTGTTAAGATTAACCTCTTTTCTTCTTCTCACAATTGGAATTGCCTGTTTACCTGGAGAAGTGACCACTGATGACTCTCACCTAATAGTGGTTGCATTGCAGTGCCTGCAGTTTAAAAGTTGAACAGGGTGATTTTCAACCAGACAGATGTCATCCATTAATATACACACGACTTGACGCAGTGGCTGATTGGATTTTCAGAGGCAACACAAAGTACCTCAAGTTCTAATAATAAAAAATGTCAAACATTTAAGTTTTTTTTTAGTAGATAATAATGATGACATTTATTAATGAATA